GGCATACCACTTAGAGGATTTGGATGGCAAAGGCGTACCCCGGCCATGGAATGCGGCCTTATGTAATTTTTTGAGGGACTTGTTTCCCCTACACTTCTGAATGCAAATACTCTTTTTGTCAATGTAATAGAAGTGAATTACTTTTGCTGAAGAGCTTTGTTGTGTCCGAAATAATAGTGGATGAGGGGCCTACTCTTCTGTTCCAGCCGAGATGATTTACTCCGGCTGACGGGTTGATGATTTGCTCAAATCCGAGGGTCCAGCCGAGATGATTTACTCCGGCTGACGGGTTGATGTTTTGCTCAACTCCGAGGGTCCAGCCGAGATGTTTTACTCTGGCTGAAGAGTTGATGATTTGCTCAACTGCGAGGTTCCAGCCGAGATGTTTTACTCCGGCTGGCGAGTTGATGATTTGTTTAACTCCGAAGTTTCAGCCGAGCTAATGTTGCTCGCCAAGAAGGAAGTCGCGGAGCGGATGTTGCTCGCCTTCTTTGGAGTTCCTTGGCCGAGCTGTTCTTGTCCGCCGAGAAAGAAGTGGCGGAGCGGACCTTGCTCGCTTCCTCGGAATTCCTTGACCGAGCTGTTGTTGCTCGCCAAGAAGCAAGTCGCGGAGCGGACCTTGCTCCCCGACCTTGGAAGTTCCTTGCCGAGCTAATGTTGCTCGCCAAAAAGGAAGTCGCGGAGCGGACTTTGCTCGCCTTCCTCTGAGTTCCTTGACCGAGCTGATGTTGCTCGCCAAGAAGCACGTCGCGGAGCGGACCTTGCTCGCCGACCTTGGAAGTTCTTTGCCGAGCTGTTGTTGCTCGCCAAGAAGCAAGTGGCGGAGCGGACCTTGCTCGCCAACCCTGGAAGTTCCTTGCCGAGCTGATGTTGCGCGCCAAGAAGGAAGTCGCGGAGCGGACCTTGCTCGCCTTCCTCGGAGTTCCTTGACTGAGCTGATGTTGCTCGCCAAGAAGAAAGTCGCGGAGCAGACCTTGCTCGCCGACCTTGGAAGTTCTTTGCCGAGCTGATGTTGCTCGCCAAGAAGGAAGTCGCGGAGCGGACCTTGCTCGTCTTCCTCGGAGTTCCTTGACCGAGCTGATGTTGCTCGCCAAGAAGCAAGTCGCGGAGCGGACCTTGCTCGCCGACCTTGGAAGTTCCTTGACCGAGCTGATGTTGCTCGCCAAGAAGCACGTCGCGGAGCGGACCTTGCTCGCCGACCTTGGAAGTTCCTTGCCGAGCTGTTGTTGCTCGCCAAGAAGCAAGTAGCAGAGCGGACCTCGCTTGCCGACCTTGGAAGTTCCTTGCTGAGCTGTTGTTGCTCGCCAAGAAGGATGTCGCGGAGCGGACCTTACTGCTTGCCGACCTTGGAAGTTCCTTGACCGAGCGGATGTTGCTCGCCAAGAAGCATGTCGCGGAGCGGACCTTGCTCACCGACCTTTGAAGTTCCTTGCCGAGCTGTTGTTGCTCGCCAAGAAGGAAGTCGCGAAGCGGACCTTGCTCGCCTTCCTCGGAGTTCCTTGACCGAGCTGATATTGCTTGCCAAGAAGCACGTCGCGGAGCGGACCTTGCTCGCCGACCTTATAAGTTCCTTACCGAGCTGTTGTTGCTCGCCAAGAAGCAAGTCGCGAAGCGGACCTTGCTCGCCGACCTTGGAAGTTCCTTGCCGAGCTGATGTTGCTTGCCAAGAAGGAAGTCGCGGAGCGGACCTTGCTCGCCTTCCTCGGAGTTCCTTGACCGAGCTGATGTTGCTCGCCAAGAAGCAAGTCGCGGAGCGGACCTTGCTCGCCGACCTTGGAAGTTCTTTGCAAAGCTGATGTTGCTCGCCAAGAAGGAAGTCGCGGAGCGGACCTTAATCGCCTTCCTTGGAATTCCTTGGTCGAGCTGATGTTGCTCGCCAAGAAACAAGTCGTGGAGCGGACGTTGCTCGCCTTCCTTGAAGTTCCTTGCCGAGCTGATGTTGCTCGCCAAGAAGGAAGTCGCGGAGCGGACCTTGCTCGCCGACCTTGGAAGTTCCTTGCCGAGCTGATGTTGCTCGCCAAGAAGGAAGTCGCGGAGCGGACCTAGCTCTCCTTCCTCGGAGTTCCTTGACCGAGCTGATGTTGCTCGCCAAGAAGCACGTCGCGGAGCGGACCTTGCTCGCCGACCTTGGAAGTTCTTTGCAAAGCTGATGTTGCTCGCCAAGAAGGAAGTCGCGGAGCGGACCTTGCTCGCCTTCCTCGGAGTTCCTTGACCGAGCTGATGTTGCTCGCCAAGAAGGAAGTCGTGGAGCGGACCTTGCTCGCTTTCTTAGTGCGGTCACCATCTTGCATATTGAGGACCGAGGAAGTATTACCCCGGTCAGGATAGGTAATCCCAGTCACGCTTCAGCAGACGGAATTAAGGGGCAATTGAGAGGGAGATTAATGATATGGAATTTGTGCCAGACAGATTTGGGTCGAACAGGTGTTGGGCCAAGTTGTGTGGCCCGGCCTTGATGGAATTTGCTCGGTTAAGGCAGCGCGTTGATTGACCGAGCTGCAAGGATCCGTGATTACGAAGCCGGTCAGGTGAAAAAGTCCAGAGCCAGGAAAGGCAAGGTTGGACCGAGGTACCTGTTTGCTCGGCAGGTAGGTCAACTGCAGACAAGCGTAAGTAGTCCCGAGCTTGGCTTTGCCGAGATGCCGCCGAGTCCGGTCCTCATCTAAGCTTAGCTGTTGGAGTACTTGGGCATGAAGCGCAGCATGGCAGACGATGGCCGAGATGGAATTGCCCAGCTGCCGAGCTCCCAGGAGAATGGGCGGGCAGTTGGATTAGGTGATGTTCAGCAAGGTTTATGCTGACATATGGGATAGCGGAGCCACATGTCAGGAGATGACTGAGAGTGGATATGGGGCGCAGAGGGTATATAAGCATGTCTGCGCCCCCCATACGCAAACAGATGAACACTTTGTAAGGAATTTCTTACACTCAAACACCTCTCTCCCTCTCTCTCTCTATCCTAAGGTGTGTGCTAACTTGATCGTCGGAGGGTTTTTCCGGCCACACACCGTCGGGTAGCTCACCGTTATTTGCTAGCAGGTGATCGGACAAAAACGGAGCTCGAAAGAAAGGAGTACGGGCTTGCCGGAATATTTACTCCCCGTACAATAATGAAAAAGATTTTTGAAAAAGAATTCAATGGAGAGGAGCTAGATCTAAGATTTGGATTTTAGCCTGTGGCAGTTAATTAAAATAATAAAAAAAAAAGTCAAAAAATTAAAATAAAAAATCTTTTCGGATAAAATTAAAATAATCAATTTAGATAACCAACAAGAAATTATTATTATTTTTGTTTACAGCCTTCATTTTTCAATTATTAATAACTAACTTTCAGCCGCCAAAAAAAAATAAATTTACTACATTTTAAAAGGAAACATTACTTTTGTTTTAAAAAAGTACTTTCTTCGAAACTGTATATATTATTCAATTTTAAAATTTAGAATATGAAAATTAAATTGATTTTTAGCTTTAGAATACAAAGATTAAACACCTATTTGGTACTATTTATGTTTATAATTTTTTATTTATATTAAAAAAATTAAAAATAAAAATAAATTCATTTGTTATCTATTTCCATTTTTTAAAAGGTTACCCAACGACTGTTACAATACAAAAAATTAAATTCATTAACAAAATCTATTCTCGAAGAGCCTCTCCAACGCTGTACTTCTTCTTTCATCAAAATTTAAATTTGATGAAAAAAGTAAACTTTTGTTACTCCAACATTTTCATCAAACCAATATTAAGTTTAAGATATCTTAAAGTTTTTATCAAATTGAGAATGGTTGTACCTTTCATTAATTTACTATTCATAACCGTTGGAGATGTAGGGCATACACCATCATCGGACGACCGGCCGGTTGTCCCTCTGATCGTCCACCTCATTGCAAAAATTTGGGACAAAATCACACTGGCCGATCGACCTGCCAGACATCCCTTCGGTCGATCGGTGGTTTGATAAAATTCCAAGTTGTTCCATGCAACATCAGATGAAGTTTTTTACTCAAATTGATAATAAAAAAAAATTAAAAAAAATAAAAAGGTTAAACATTGGAGATGCTCTAAAATACTCAACACTAGTTTGTAGAGGTGATCGCAGATCAAGTTAGGTCGGGTGGCATCCCATCCACCATCAGTTCAAAATTAGGTAGATTAGAAAAAAAAATCAATTAGCATCCGTCCATCAGTTTGGCGGATGCATATTTAGTGGGCCGTACGAGTTGGCGGTTTAGACTTTACAAACTTTGAGCATTCTTTTCAACAACAATGCTTATCCACTTAATTTATCATCTTTAAATAACCCTTAGTGATATGGCACTGAGGTTAGACCCCAATGATAAAATGTTTGATAAGTTAAAATTTGACACTTGCCAGACATATTATTAGGGATTATCTTTAAAGATGATAAATTATGTGTTTCAAGCATTTTTCTTTTTTAAATATAATTCATAACTTTTATAATCTCCAATAATTAGTAATCTAAAAAAATAAACCATGACACCGCACATGTATATTTTTAAGATATTATTTTTTATTTTTATAAAAATATATATCTTATTATTTCTACTCTATATTATTACTAGTTAATATTTATTTTTTAAAAAAAAACTTCATCTACAGATAAATTTACGGGTACATCATGTTCATACAAGTGCAAAATGATTGATCCGCCATCCAAATTGTACCCACGAATTTTGAAATATTTCATCTGTATCTGTCCACTAAAAGACATGCTTCCGCTCAAAATCAATTGAGTTAGATCTATTTGGTTGAATTGAACGAATCCATAATCACCCCTACGAATTTGGTAAAAATAAATACCAAAAATATTTTTTTTAATTTGCAAAGACAATTTTTGCACAAAATGTATATAATGCATATTTTAAAAAATTATATTATTTTTTCACCAAATTAACTTTTAATATTTAAAAAACAAACAAACAAACAAACAAACAAACAAATTCTGAAAACAATATCAAACAGAACATTATTAAGTTTCCAATATTTCACAAACTTCTTTATTCCTTACTTGAACAAAGTAACTATATTCATTACACACGAGTCTTAAGCACACAGAAAGTATCACAGAGCTTTAACAACATGCCAGAAAACTATCGACATTAGTGAATTGGAACCTCCTTAACTTCCTTCTTAGGTTTTTCAATCCTAGGTATGATAAAAGTGAGCACACCATCCTTCATCTGAGCCTTGATTTCATCAACCTTTGCATCCTCAGGCAACACAATGCAGGTATCAATGAAGTAGCCAAAGCTCCTAGCTGACAAGTACTGCTCGTCATCGGACCCTTCTTCAACCTCTTCCTTGTGCTCTCCTTTGATTGTCAAAACATCGTCTTCGACTGTGATTTTCAAGGCCTCTTTGCCCAGACCAGGCAGGTTGAATCGCAATTTGTAGCACTCGTCGTGCTCTTTGACTCGGCCTATGAGTCCTGAAGGTGTCAGGTTCTGAAAGAGCTTGTTGATGTTTTGAGTTGCTTGCAAGAGTGCATCCCCTAGCCCTGGGGGGAAGAATTCTACAGGACAAAAAAGTAGCATTTGTGAGTGGTATTTTTTTTCCTTTGCTTTTGTAACAAAAATATAGAATGGTCGATTATAACAAAGGGACCACAATCGCAACAAACCCTGAATCTTTGCCCTTCTCATTGACCAGAACCATGACTCTCAGACTCCTTGAACAACTACATGAATGCTCCTACATAAACCATAGACGAACTGCACTATCTGAATTTTATTAAAGCGACCAATTTCTTTCAAAAAAATTTAAGAGTATACAAAGAGATGTTCTATATGCAACATTAATTTGTCAAGTTTCACTTCATTTTCTATTGCAATCGTTTTCTATGAAATATATATATATATTAATTAAACTATTGAAAAATATGGGTAAATTATAGTTTAAGCCAAATCTCACAAAAATGTTATGGTGTGCACCTTATTACAAAATGTGTACTTTTGCCATAAAATTTTGTAATATCACCCACAAAATATATAATCTCGTCGCGATGTAACAAAAAATTTGTAACTCAGTCACAAACTTTAACTTTGTGACATCAAATACAAATTTTTTGACATTTTGTTACACCATTTTACAGTGAGATTACGCAATTTGTTGTGATTGATGTTATAAAATTTTGTAATAAAATTATACATTTTTATAGTAAGATACATATATGGTCCTTATAAGATTTCCAAAATATATATGTTTAAAGTTTTAATTCACAAAATACGGATTAAGTTTTTATGAATAATTCATTACTCATAGCACTCCATTTTTTTTTATTCCCCTATCATAGTCAACTTCCACAAATCAAAACTCTCAAATATTCTAACAATACTAAAAATTATTATTATTACTAGAAATTAAATTACACTAATAATAATCAAAATTTATCCATCTTTAAAAAAAGAAAAGAAAAGAAAAAACTAACTCTAAAAACTTTAAATTATTCGATTGATCTAAATAGATGATGCAATATTAGTTAGATATTAATAGGTGTGTGCAACTTAGTTATGTGAAACTTGATTATACCAAAACAATATATCATCAGTCAAGTGATAAAAGATAATAAAAAAATAAAAATTAAAGAAAATAAAATTACTCTGTAACAAGTCAAAATGACACTGCCAAATCCCTTTTTTTTTTTCTTTTTTTTTTTTGACACTGGCAAATCCATTTTGGAACACCGTTGGGGGTACTTTGCTCTGAGAGAAAGAAAGTACCATAGAGAGCAGGAACAAAGTCGCCATGGTCGGAAGTGTTCCTCCAGAGACCCTTTCTACGTTGCTTTTTGGGGAACAGCTTGAATTTCTTGCGACCCTCCCTATCAGAAAGAGAAACCTCTCTACCAACCTCTCTCTCTGATGATGATGATGATGATGATGATTTCTTAACATCAACACCTGTACCAGTATCAGTACCACCAGCACCAGCACCAGCAGCTGAAGCTGAAGCTGAAGCTGATGATGTACTAGTAGTATTAGTAGTACAGAGCATCCTCATCATCAGATCAGAGGCCCCCCACCTCTGCTTCTGCATAGCCCTACCCAGTGAACAAGAAGAACTAGTAGTCCAAGGACAAACCACTCTCTGTTCCACATTCTTCAAACCCAAACGACCCAAAGCCGCCATCATCACTACTACTGCACTCTTCCCTGTATTTTACAATTCCCCAATGTTTCTTCTTCTTCTTCTACTACTTCTTCTTCTTCTTTTTATAAGAGAGAGAGAGAGAGTGTGGAGAATTTGAGAATTTAAAGAGATGTTTCTGAGAGCTTCCAGTAGTAGTAAAGGTAAGGTTTACACGTCATGAACCCAATGAGAACAGATCAAGAATTGTTTCTTTGGTAAAAGGGCTACTATAAGCTTCTCAAACTTTCTCCTGAATTGCAGGGTGTTCCAGTGCCAAAACAAATCTGATGGCATATCTACCCAATTTTCTCATCACACGACACTTCATGACACTATATATGTAGTGCTAATATATAACAGAAGTTATGACATTTGTAAGTTATAATCAAATATCATATAAAGAATAATAAAAAAAATTTGATCCTAATTAAAATAATGATTACACAATTGATCATAATTAACATTAATAGTTTATAAGGAATCTATTTATACGTGTCTATAATTTAGGAAGGTCAAAGTGATATTTTTTAATAGTTTAAAAAGCCTCCATGTAAATAACCATATATATGTACATATATAATATATACAAGTTATAACATTTGTGAGTTACAACCAAATACCACAAAAAGTATAATTAACGTAAGCAAAATAATAATATTCGAGTCATAACTAGTAATAAAATAAATCATAGCTAAATACTTCAAATATTGGACATATGATAAATACCCCAAAAGGGGTGTACATTATAGAATGGGGAAATTACTCTTGGTGGTAATTTTCAAAAATTATTACACATTAATAAATATATATATATATATATATTTATAATGTTTAATATTTATAACGTTTATCATTTATTAATAATTCCTTTTTTTAGGAGCTGTTACTTCTCTTTATCAAATTACCGTAATTGTTAATTCAAAATTACTAAATAAGTTTTTTTATTCATCAAACTATTTCTCAGTTATCAAATCATCCATCCAATTACTCCCAATCATCAAATTATCTATCAAACTATCTCTCAATCATTAAAACATTCCAAAAAAATAAAATAAAAAAATAAACATAAAATTATAAACACACGAATAATCATATTTATAATTGTGAGAAAAATGAAGAGGTGCAAAACTGAGATGTTTTCGGCCGTTTCTAGGTCACCAATGATGTGCCCCCAAAACCAGCCCAAGTAATTATAACAGCCTATTTCTGCCCCACCAATCATATATTATTTCGTTTTTGTTTTAATTTTTATTTTTTTTCATGTTTAAAAAACATGTGTGAAAATATTTCACGAGTGAACAACACAGAACATAAGTGGTTTCAGAAAGTGTGAATTTGACAGGGGTTTAGGAACTACCTACTTTTAAATCATTAGGCCATAATACTATATTCCCGCTTCCTTTTTGGAGATCATTGATTGAAGACTGGAATAAGCAGGCTTGTCTATGTTTTTTCGTTCTTTGTATCACCTTGAGCATTTCTCAAAATGGTTAAACAAAAAGCAGGCTAAATTTTAAAGAGATAAAACAAGAACAAATAAAAGACGTACAGGAATCACTCAGAAAAAATTCCACAAAAATCTGATGCCAAGAATGGCACAGGCAACCACTTTTATAAATTAGAGAATACAGTGTAATGCTAAGGCATATCTCGAAAAAAACCTGCAAGACATCAACCTGGGCACATGATGATAATGTTGTAGTTAATGTACAGACCACGCCTTGCCCAATTGACTTTCTGTCACCATAGCAATTTAACTTTGATAACAGCACTCGTGGGTTGTGAGCAAACTATACTAATGCTTTTCTCAATCATACAAACCGTCTTGTTCCCATATGTCGACAAGAAAATCTACCATTTCCTGTTAGTTTAAAATAATGTGCAGAGCATGTTACCAAGCAGAGTGATCAGACCAAATGGAACACTTTTTTGCCGAAGGAAAAAACTTACAGGGAGAGGTATAGGCCGGCGAAATGGCTTGTTGCTCCCAAGCAAACTTTCGTAGGTTGCATTCCAACTACAAAAACCAGAAATTTTTTGAACAGGCATAGACAGTAAGTGCAGAAAAAGTAGAACACATTCATGACCAATGCTTGGTTCAAAAAAGGATGAAGTCTAAGGAGCAGGGACACGGATACAGACCCAGCCACGTGACACAACATGGACACACGCTGACACATCAATTTTAAAAAAAATGCATGACACAACTCTTGGCGGACAAGCACAAAATATGTGATTTATATATTCATTATACATCATATATATGAATATTTCACTAAAAAATAATAACAAATACAACATGAAACTAGCTCCTAAAGTTTAAAAGAGGAAAGGTTGACACATAAAAATAAAAAAAATAATTTCCCAATCATTGTCTCCTCTAGGTTATTTTGTTCAAACTTATAATCTGTTTCATGTGTGTTTGACACATGTCAAGAAGTGTCCAATGAGTGTAAGTGTTAGATACATGTCAGACACGGACACGACACAGACCTTCTCTGAAGTGTCCCTGCTTCTTTGAACAAAGTGCATGTTAAAAGATAGTTTTCAAAAATACAGAAATCATTAACAAAACAGCCCAAAATGCAAGTGTTCTAGGAAGGAAAACAGTTTGCACAAATCCAAACCATTCAGGCACTTAACACTAAATCCTTTGTATTCCAAACTATTTGGAAATAGACAATGTGTTATTGGCATGAAGATGTCTGGACGAGGAATATGCTTCACCACAAATAGAAAAGGAAAAGAAATAAGACAAATCATCATGTTGTCAAAAGGAGAGGAAGTAACCAGTAATAAGGAAAAGTAAGACTACAGGTTCTATCGCAGGATTAGGAACTCTGAAGTAGAGATTGCACTTGAAAAGATGAAATCAAATAAGACTTTAAGACCCGATGATATCCCTACTGAAGCTTGAAAATGTTTGAATAAGAAGGGGATTGTTTAGTTGATTAGGTTATTTAGCAAGATTTTGTTAGCTAGGAAAATGCCAGTGGAGGAAGAGTCACAACTACTATTGTAAAGTGGACACCATCGCTGATGAAAGGTTGAAATGAATAACCTTTTTTTTCAATTTATGACATCTTTCCTTGTCCCCAAATCAAACGGGATCAAACACATCAATTGGCTTGTGTAGATAGCTAATTTTAATTTGCCTGGGAGATTGAATGAAAGATATAACTAGCCTAGATAACAAATTAATAAACAATATTTCTTGCACGTGTCCAGACAACAAACCTTAGTTTAGGTTCACGAAGCTGTTGTGCCTGATTCTCGGACTTTTTATTTCCTATCCACTGCAGCCTAGTTTGGTTCCAGAGAAGAAGACCTACAACCAACACATTCAGCATCAGATGAAGACATTCCGAAGCAAAAGTAACAATAAAGTAATGCGAAGATGTATATAGAATTTGTTGGACGGCTTGATATGCATTGCTGGGACTCTTTCCTAAGGGTTTGGGACTAATGTTGATCTAACATTGTATCAAAGCTCAGGTTAAAAGACGTCTTGGGTTCAAATTTCTTTATTTGCATTTGTTTTCTTGTTTTCATGTTATTTCTCTACATGTTTGGATGCTTGCATCCCGTGTGCAAGATGGGATTGCATATAAGGAAAGGTATTGAAGAGTTTAGTATGCATTGTTAGGCCCCTTTCATAACAACTTAAGCTTTTAGGATTAGTGGTGATCTAACAGAATTGACAAGAATTTCACATGAAAAAATGCTTGCAATATCATTTGTTGTAAATCAAACCAAACCAAACTAAGCCTTGTATACTAATCAAGTCGTCGGCTACATAAATCTTTTTTGTCATTCTGCTCTGTCAAAAGTTATTTGCTCAATTAAATCAAATAAATTCATACATATATATATATATATTGTTTTTCTTTCTACTGCATCTCATGTCAATTTATATCTTCCCTTCACCCTAACATCTCAATTTATGATGATTATATCCCTATTCTTTACCATTACAACTACAAGTCTTCGTTGCACATGACCAAACTATCTTAATTTATTTTCTCTCAACTTATCTTCAGTTGGTTCTATTCCTATCATTTCATGAATATATTAATTCCTGATTATATTTGTTCCTAATTTGTCACACATCCATCTAATATTCTCATATAAGCTACTCTCATTTTATGAACATGTCGTTTCTTAGTTGTCCAACTATTTGTCCCATAAAACATTGCTAGCCTTATAGTTGGTTCACAAAAATTTCCTTTTAATTTTATCAAAACCATTTTTTATATTATACATGTCCTAAATAAGATCCCGCATGTAAAACAAAATAATTATTAATTAATTTTAAAGAAAGAAAAAAGAATCAGTTTATCCACATAATAAATTCCATCCAAGTCTTTGCACCACCCCCACCCCCACCAGCAGAAAGACAACAGATACACAAACCAGAGGATGGAAAAATTCAGTCATATCATTACCACAAGTGCATGTACCTTCTACACCCAATATGGTCAGTAACATCAAAGAAGCAACAAGAACTTGCCAGGATTTACAAATTCCGAAGGGGTGTTTTGACTGCTAGTGCCATGGGGATCAACTGTCAGGGTTGATGTGCTAATTGACGAGATGCTTCCTTGTGACTGCACTGCACTGTTGTCCATTTCACACGTGTTGGTGGTCCAAAAATCCTCAGATATGCTTAGTTTTGACGCTTTTTGCTCTTGAAGCTTTGGTCTTTTTAGTGGCTCACTGATTGAGGTAATCAGTTTGGATTTACAATGGATTCCCAGACAACCACTGCTCTGTTACAAAAATCTGGTTCTGTAAGAAATTATATTTATTCCAAACAATTGGTTCATATTAGACACTAAAAACTCATGCTGCAGAACTTACACAGGTAATCAGTTTACATACACAAAGTTCACGCATTAAATTTGGTTGCAAATAATATACTCAAACTAAATCCTGATCCTTGGATGATAGAAGGTCCAAGGTCATCTGGATGTTGTAACTTCCACCTAGTAGATGAAATAGGCAAGACTTGTCCCAGACATGATCGTAATCTACAGTATCAGAAAAAAATGATAAATTACAAATTCACCCTCTGAGGTTTTCAAACACACCCTTATAGTTTTGAAAATTACATTCCGCCCCTTAAAAATTATAATCATAGAACAAATAACGCTTTCATGAATCAACCATGATAAGTGCCAAAATTTTACACAGTTAGCCCTCCAAAATACACTTCATGAGTCCATAATCCTATATTATTTGATGACTTTGTGTTGTGTTATGTAATTGTAGGTTTTCCAAATCTTTACACTCAAATGACATGAGTAGGATGAATTTTGCAAAGCTTACATGGAGTTTTGGAAGAAAGGATTATCCAATCAAATTTAAGAATAAAAACTTGAATTTTCAAGTTGAAAGTTCTCTGCGTAGCAATTGGTGTTTTGGGCATATCTCCTTCATATAACATCGAATTGAGATGAATCAAGCAGCAACGGTGCCAAAAATTAATAGGTCGTTTTCACGCCAAAATTATTTATTTAAAACGAGTAGTAACTACTACTCTACAGGATAGTGGTTAAGACCAGATGTTTATCCATAGAAATTGTATAGACTAAAGTGATTAAAATTGAAAAAAAAAATTACTTGACCGTTCCTACAGCAGTAGATTTAGCGCAAGACGGTCCGTACTAACCGCAGATGGTCTATGCCTAGAGTTTCAGTATATGAAATTTCTAGATGATCATATTAAGACTTGTAGTCATAATATATCATAATTGTCCATTACTTAATCTCCCAAGAACGGTTACAATTACCTTGTGTTACGTGAGTAGTGGTGGATTCAAACTCCCTAAGGAATTCTCTACAACCGAACTTCAGTATTCTTTTATATTTATTTGTCATTTTCATTAAGTTCACATTATCAACCTTCTTCAATCAAGTAAAAATTATTTTTGGTTTTAAGCACTTTAGTCAATACAATCCCTATGGATCGACATCTAGTCTTAACTGCTATTCTATAGAGTAGTAGTTATTATTTGGTTTTAAATAAATAATTTTGGTGTGAAAACGACCCGTCAAACCATTAAATCAATTAACAGCTTTTAACGATGTCAATAATATATGTTAATTAACAGTCTTGGCAATTTCATTGTTGTACAAGAAGATAGTTAGGAATTTCATTTTTCTATCAACTTTGTTAAATAACAAATTATGACAAAATGGTATTTATAATTTCCAAAACCACAAGGACAATCTATATTTTAAGCAAATGTCAGAAGTGTATTTGTAATTTACCCTGAAAAAAAATCTCAATGCAAACTCTCCAATCCCATGTTTTTTTTCCCTAAACTTTTCAACGAAATAAAAGAACTAAAATCTAAAAATTTTGGCTTTCAAATTGTCATCTTATAACTACAAATATTAAGATAAGTCATTTGTCACTGTTCCAGTAGACATACTCTCACAATTTTTACACAGAAGGGCTAAAAAGTTAAGGATACAAGTTGAATTTAAGCATCAGAGAAATTAATATATTTACACGTACATTATCAATAATTCAAAAGAGTTTGAAAGTCATGTGAACAAAGTAAGCTAAGTTACATTATTGGCAATTGCCTAGATGCCTTGAATACACTTGAACAAGAAAATTCTCTCATTTCTTTTTTCATTTTCCTTTCTTTTCCCTTTTCTTTTCTTTTCAACAAACCAATCCAAATTCCAATTATAGCCTAAGTATTTAAGAAAACCGTCTAATTGATACATATGCAAACAAGTGCAACAAATCAATCAATATATTCTCCAATCCAATCACAGAATTGACTCAAACCAAATAAAAATTTCAAAATTCTCTTAACTCTAGCAAAATCATCACCATGTAAATATGTAAAAGAGGGAATCGAAATACTTACCCCATGCATGCGATTATATGAACAATCCAAAATATTACAGATCCGAAACGTAACAGCGATCCTACCAGAAACATGGGGTCCGGGGAGAAAAGATCACAAAGCTCTGCAATCAAACGATGAGATCAAACACCTCAGATTTGCAATATATACACACATATTTATCTAGATATACATAACATGAACATAAGAGAAGACCGACCTGAGAGACTCGGACATTGCTTTGTCTCTCTCCTTCCCGAAATCGATCGCCTCGGGAATCCGATTACCCCGTGAGAATGACCTTCGCTGCTCTTCTTGTTCTTCTTCTTCTCTGTGAAAATTTTATTTATAATTGTTTGTTTATCGTTTTCGGAAACAGATTTTAGAAAATTCTATTTTTTATTTTTCGTATTTTATTTTTTTTAATATTTTAAGTAAATTTTTTTAATTTTTAGACATATTTAATAAGTATAATATTTGTGAAATTTTTTTAAAAAATACGCAAAAATAAGAAAAAAAATTAGTATTTTTGTATATTTATTAATTTTTTAAAATATTTTTTCACAAATATTTTATTATTTAGATATATCAAAGTAAGATACATATAAAAAAGTAAAAAAAAATTACTTCAAATTTAAAAAATATCCACTAAAAATAAAAAGAAATACAAAAAAGTAAAAAAAATCAATTTTTAAAAAAAGTTAATTTAAAAAACTGAACCAAACATTGTCATTATTATTTATTGATAAATTGGAAGTAATAAGTGAAATAATAATGTATATATTATGAAACTATCTTTAAAAAGTGGGCCATTTTTTCATAAAGTCATTTAATCTATCTTCTTTTTTAATATTCCATATCACCAAATTATCATTCCAAACTCTTTCGACGTGTTTTCATTTTGAAAACAATACACAATTAAAAATAATAATAATCTCTCATTTTATAGATAAAATTTCTCCGTCATTCTAGTGAGAAAAGCTCTTCCTTATTTTAGGATTTGGAGTGGTGTTGTGCAGCCAAATGAACCCATTTTTAAGCCCATTTCGATAATTTGAACCATTCACATTTTAAAATACATCAAATACAATATACTTGTAAAAAATCAAGTTAATCGAATATCGTTTACCATTTCATCTACTCATATTTGTATTCATTTTAATATTTTAAATCATAATTGTTATTTATTTTTATAAATACAAATGTGAGTGGATAAATAGGTAAACGATATCCGATTAACTTGAGTTTTTGCAGGTATGCTCTACTTGATGTATTCTAAAATGTGAATGGTTCAGATTATCGAAATGGGCCTCGAAATGAGCCCATTAAATTGCACAACAGTGGTTGCTATACAACCCACACAGCAGCCACCCTAAATTCCTTATTTCATGGAGAAAATCTTTCATTTATCCTATGGAAAAAATCTCTCTCATTCTAAGAAAAAAAAATCTCTCACATTTTCAAAATCTTAAATTGTCTACTTTACTACGACATAAAAAAGTAACGCTGTGAATATTCACATCGATCGAAGCGTAGATACTGTGAACATCCACATTACTGGTGATTGCTTATATTTGTATACACATAACCATTGGCTTAATGTGAGCTGTGGTAAATAAATGTTTATGTGAACTTTCACATTACAAATGTTTGCACTTGTATGACTATTCCTGAATGTGAATATTAACAATGATTAATAATGTGATGATCATAACACCAATTGTAACACATTACAATGTGATCATTCATAACAAGCAATGACTCATTACAATGTGAATATTCACGCTATGTAATAATCATGCAAAACTCATACATTAATCAGTAATAAACATTCACATTATGCAATCATCAGTCTACATTACATGTTATGCAACCATTACATACTTCTAATGTTGAAGTTTACAATATCAAATGCAAAACATTAAAATATGATAATACACAACAATAATAACTTCAGTGGATGTGAACATTCACATTCACCAAAATACTCACCCAATAAGCATACACACACTGATACATAATACCACATCAATTTATCTGGAAACAAAAAGTTGAATCCAACTTTATTGAACATAAATTCCTACCAAACGCATATCTACATGTAGTTGCAAAACAAAAATGGTGTTAACCTTCATCTAACAATTTTAAACTTTGAAACAGCAACAATGGGAGAAAGTAGTGCTTCAAAATTGTAACTATGGTTGTGTGCAGTGCAGTTCGGGCAGTTTGAGAGTAAAATTACAAACTGAATGCAGGTTAGCAAATTAGCGGATTAACATATTGCGGTTTGAGTGGTTTTTGGCGGACTGAAAAATATTCTAACCAATTATCATATGTTTACATAATATATAAAACTAATTTGTATAATATTATATATATATATATAACACGAAGTAATTTTGCATAATATATTTCATATATGTAACTACTAATTTGTAATAAATTTCATATCTTAAATCTCTCTCTCACTCATTTTTACATTGATATTTTATTAGAGGTTAAAAATATATATATGTATTAACTATAGCAGAGCAAAGCAGTTTGGAAGGAAGAGTATAAATTTTAAAGTTTAAATAGTGGTTAGCGGTTAGAGCGGTGCGGATTGATGCGAATCGGTACGATTTTGACTAATTAGGCGATATTTTGCACAGCCCTAATTGTAACACTGAAAGAACACAAAGTTTTGAACTGCAACAATGAAAGAATGTAGTATTTGAATGTTCTATATCCTTCATCCAACAATTCTGAATTTGAAAACCGCAACAATGGAAAAAAAAATAGAACTTCAAAACCGCAACAATGGAAAAAAATTGAGGTTCAAACCACAACAATCGAAAAGAAAATACTCAAATGTTCTCTCATCACCAATGTGTAAAGAAACTCCTACAAAAACGTATAATGAAAACGTATATATTGATTCTTCCAAGATCTCTAATCACCAAAACTTTCAAAATAAAAATAACAAAATATGAAAAATGTTATATCCTATTGTGTATAATGCTTACTATTAAAATAGAACAAACGGTATAATAGTCCTTCAAAAATTATCAATAAGGCAAAAAGGACCTCCTATTATACAATTCTAAATAAATGGGATTTGATAGAACACAAAAAAACCTTGTGGGTTTATTGGACTATAAATCTACTAAAAGGGATTTATAAATAAATCTCCCTAAAAAAATATGGGTATTATTCCAAAAAAAAAAAAGAAAGAAAGAAAGAAAGAAAGAAAGAAAGAAATAAACAATATGAATATGGCTTACATTATGTCTTGATAATAGCAATAATAATAAATAGGAAAACAATTCAGCATGTATCTTTTTAGTTTTTTGAAAACACTTTTAAGAAAATTCTACTTTCTTATTTTTTTTATTTTTATTGAGTTTTTAAATATTTTTTTTAATTTTTAGACACACCTAACATAAATACACTTTAAAAGTATAATTTTCGTGAAAAAAAATCTTTACAAAATTCACTAATCATCAAAAATACAAAAAAGAAAAATGAAAATTCAGTATATTTTTCATATTTTTGTATAGTTATTAATTTTTAAAAATATTTTTTCACAAATATTTTACGTTTTAGATACATCTAAGTAAGGTGTACTTAAAAAAGTAAAAAAAAAATGCTTAAAATTTTAAAAATATTCAATAAAAACAAAAAAAATACGAAAAATAAAAAACTCAGTTTTCAGAAAACTAAAACCAAGCACACTGATTATGGTGCATACTCTTCAAATGGTATGCACCATATGCACTTTCTAACAAAAAAAATGACATAATTTTAATTTTTGAATCATAATTAAATATATAAATATATATATATATATATATATATATCATAACTAAATACAACATAAACTATAACTAAAGAACATAATATTAAAACTAAAGAAAAAAATTGATCATAATTAAAAAAGAAAATGACATAACTATAATTATATATAGTGCACCATTTTCAAAGGGGTATATATTAGAATTTCCCTAAAAGTAGTGTTTATCTTAAATTTATGTCTCCTTTAGGTAGAACACCCAAAAATTATCTAGTAAGTCAAGAAGACCACGTGTTCATGTGCTCAACCAATTCTAGAAATTTTATAGTTTATCCATCATTTCTTTATTATTAAGGTCATGTATTCATTTAGTCCTTTACTATTGGTTGGGTACATTGCTAACGTAAAATTCTTAAAAGATAGGATAATTACTTATAAAACACTTCTCTTCTCTTTTTATTTTTTAAATTGTTGGAAATTGGGCCGAGTATTGGACCCGGATTTGGACGCCTATGTGACATGACCCATGGCCTATTTAAATTACCCATGTAATTTGAAATTTCTATTCATCCTGTTAGGATAACCCACTATCTCCATCTAATCTATCATATCCTATTAGGAGATAGGGATGGGAGGTTATATATCTGATTATATATTTGATTTATAGATTATATATCAGATACGATATATGGGATGTGGGGATAAATCCAATAATGATAACGTATTATTTTTCCCATACTCTCTCTCTAAGTCTCTCTTATCTGAAAATCGATCAAGCCTAAAAACACACATTTTTATTTTCTTCTTTTCTTTTCAAAAACATTTATTTATCAAAACACTCACTTTTTTCTTTTTCTTTTTTCTTTTTTCTTTTGAACACTCTTCTTTTCTTTATTTATTCTCTAAAAAAAAAAACAAACAAACAAACAAAACACACATTTTTTTCTCTCTCACAAACACATTTTTTTTAGTCCTTTTGAACACTCTTCTTTTCTTTATTTATTTTTTTCTCACAAACATACGTTTTTTTTTTCTTCTCTCAAAAACACTTTTTTTTTCTATTCCTTTTGAAAACTCTTGTTTTCTTTATCTATTTTTCCTCGCAAACACTTTTTTTTTTCTTTTATTCTCTCAAAAACACATTTTTTTTTTATTCCTTTTGAAAACTCTTCTTTTCTTTATCTATTTTTTTTTCTCACAAACACATTTTTTTGCCTTTTTTTTTAACACCCCATTTTATAATAGAAAAGACCATAAAAGAAAACAAATCAATACAAAAAAAAAGGGAAAAGAGAACAGAAAACAAAGGAAAAAGATAACAAAAAAAAAAAAAAACAAAATTGGACAGAATTTTTATCAAGGCCCGGCCGGGCCTCTGTGAAGCATGGTCGGGTATCTCGACAGCCGGCTGGACTTCGATGGCAGCAGGGGCAGTTTCGCCCTTTCCCCACGATTCACTTTTTTAAACCAACATCAAACCCTATTTCCTCATTCCCTCACCTCCGAAACTCTCTCCCCCCTCTCTCTCTCTAGCTTCCCTCTCTCTCTAGATTTCTCATCCCCTTTGCATTACCAATCAACCCT